CTATTGGTTCCATTTTAAATAGAAATTTCGGATGAATATCGTCTTTGCCTTAAGATATGTTGCCTTTTAGTTTTTTTATCGCGTCATCAAGTTTGCAAGGCCTGAATGGTTCAGTAAGCACATTATTTGGTGTTGTTATATCTTCCTTAATTTCACCATACTGTCTTACTTGTATCTTTAAATCTTTTGAAGATTTTCTGACAAAAGGGTTTTTCTTTTGCTTTTGGAAATATAGCCTTGCATAGTAGTTAGCTATTTCGGTGTCGAAATATAGCCTTGCATAGTAGTTAGCTTTTCAAAGTCATTGGTAAGCAGTTTGTTGTAAAAGCGTATCGGTTCTTTCTTGGGTCTTTCCTTTTGTTTTGGAGGTTACCCAGAAATTTGAAAGTGCGTTGGCTATCACATGGATAGTTGATATTTGAGATGAAGTTGCCTAAGGAAGTCCATTTAGCCTGTAAAATGGCTTGTGCGTCTTCCGTTCTTCCAGTCTGATCAGCAGTGTTGCGAAGTTTCTTTTCAGTTCCTCAAGGTGTTTAGATCAAAACACTGATCAGCAGTGTTGCGAAGGGCGTCCCGCTTTCTTTTCAATTCCTCAAAGTGTCTTACCTCGGAGAATAGTTTTCTTTGCACATCTAATCATAATATTCGTGATATCGTTGCAAAGTTTGTCAGGATGTTAGTTGAAGTTGAGGGGACTTGTGTGAAGTTCATTCTCCAAAAAGTTAGTGAATCTAGGCCAGTTAGCCTTCTTGAAGTTCCATGATAGCTTAGTTGGCACTTTCTTTGTCATGCTTTTGCTGCCGATGGTAATACTAGCAATGACTGGTTCGTGACAAGAACCAGGATAGTCAATAATTGTGCGGTGTGTAAGCTCGCTGATGTCGGTTGAAGCCAGAAGCAAGTCAGGAGTTGTTCTGTAGTGCAGATATGTAGCCGGATCCTCATTGCTGTAAATAAGTTCCAGATGGTTGCTGTTTAGCATGTCTTCAATTTCCTTACCAGCTATGTTTGTATCCTTATAGCCCCATCTGGTGGACAGGGCGTTGAAGTCTCCTAATAATATAGTTTTGTGTGCGACGCTCAGAGAATCAAAGTCGGGACTCTTCAGGGGTGGATTATAGACTGCGTGTATCTTGAAGTGGTTTTGACATTTTCAATAATTAAATCTGATAATTTCACATGTGTCTTGCTTCGAACTCTTACTCTTGATTAGATCGTATTGTGATATGAAGCCTTCTTTTACTCCAGTCAGAATTCCACTTGCAACTTGCCGGTATTTAGATAGAAGGTACAGGGTGTATCCTGAGAATCGGTAGTATTTCAGTTTGTCATCTGAAAGGTTTGCTTCCATAATTGTGAAATTGTCAACATCATTGGTTTGTAGGATTTTCTGGACTTGGATCTTTTTGTCCTGTGACATTCTTCTGGCATTCCACTGAAGTATCTGTAGACGTTGTGATTTGCCCTGACGAGGGAAATTTCTCTTATAGTTTTGTTTCAAGCAAATCATAATAGATTGAAGTCAAAATGCCAAGTAATAGACTATTTTGCCGTAAAAAGATACGTTATCCAGAGTGTACCACGTGGAGGTAAGTCTATCGTGCACCCTATATGCGTTATCATTATGAAACTGACTCAGATGGGCAAATAGAATTAAAATAAATTCGATGAGCCAATCAGAATACTTAAGAGTCCTTCGTTATATCAACTCAGTCGGTTGCGAAAAGCCATAAAGCCAACAAAAGTGAAAATGAACTTTATGATGTTGATGTAAGATGACATATATATATATATATATATATATATATATATATATTTATGGTCTTCCGGTTGAATTGTTGCACCATTAAGCAAACTTGCACTCTGTTCTCCATCTATGCTCTCCTTCAACACCAATCATCTATATGGTACGTCAAATTAATTTTCATCAAATTTGGTTTTGTTTGAGTGGTAAGCAACTAAACAAACTTTGGTCAGCAGGAAAGGTAGTGAAATAGTAGTGGGATAATTTACCTCAAGCAGGACATTTGATTAAATGAAGGGGGCCTTTGTTTTAGGAGTGTAAGATTTTTAGATAGATGTTTTTACAATTGAATGTGAGTCGGTATCCTTTCTCCCAATGTTTAGTAACTCTCATCTTTATTAAGTGCGGTAAAAACTTAAGTTGTTATATGAGTATTTACTGCAGGGAACATTATTAGGATAAAACAACTGGAAAGCATGATAGCATCACGAATTTGCAAAATGAAATATGGATTTCATAATTTACAGTGATTTTGGTATTCATATCAGATCGTGTAGTTCAAATAGGCCTCTCTTTGTGGACTAAATACTTAATTAACCCAAAAGTGTTCAAAATGTACCACTTTCAGTCTTCTAATTAAAATCAACAGAATCCCTTTAAAGAATTGTTTTTTATCTAAATTCCTACAAATTGAGTAAAATCAAGTTTTATTACAATAAATTGATTATGATTCTAATTTTGCCACATTTTTTTAAGAAAGAAACATATTGAAATTGTACTTTATTTTTTGAAATTTAAATTATCACATGAATAATTAGTTAAATTTAGAATTAAAATATTGCTATCGAAATACACAGTAAAGAATACGGGATTAAACTGGTATTTACATTTAATCTAAGAAAACAAATGAAATTTAAGTTAAATGAAATCATTTTTATTTACTAATGGTATTTATAAATTTTCCTATTTAATAGCGATAATTTTTTCGAGTCCGGCTTTTCTATATAAAAATTTAAAAATAATAATAAAATATATATTCAAGTGGCATTAAATATACATTTTTTCGATAAAAGTTACTTACCAATTGGTTTCTATTTATTTCTATCGCGCAGTGGTCAGAAACTATTCGTTTTCCATTTTAAATCAAGTGATTTATCACTGATTTTGTCTTAAATAGAAAAAGACATAAATTAAAAATATCACGCTATGAAAATTAAGATTTAAGAATGAAAAATTGGCTTATTGCAATTTTAAAATTTACCGCGGTAACCGTGTGTTTTACTTTTGGCGCTACAGTTACTAATACTCCGAGGGATTTTTGAAGTACTTAAAAGGGAAATTAATTAATTCGGTATGGGCGCATGCCTTTTAAACAGTAGTGTTAAAATGTAATTTTTACTAACCTGTAAATCTAAGCGAATCGTTTTCTTCTTGTAATGAAGTCGGAGCAAATGGAATAGGCAATTCTATTTTTGTCGCCAAAAATGCAAATAAATATAATTTTTTAATGAATTTCAGTTAGTAGTAACTATTTATATTGCATTTGTTGGCATTTACCAAGCTTCTTGGCTGGTTCTACCGTCTCATGCTTATGAAAGTGTCCTGGGAAATGTTGGCATAACAATTAGAAACCGCATCAAATCGAAATGAGCAAATAAATATTGAATTGAAACAATGGGACTACCGAGCAGTCTGGATTTGGCCGATTGCGCCCCGTTTGGATTAACTATTTCCACCGGCTCTATCTTTTCGATAGCTTCTACCAAATCTATAAGGTCTAAAAATTTTTGGTGTTAAAGCTTTTGTTAGCATTGAACTATTACATTTTATTAAATTTGCATAATTTTATCTTGTTATATATGTTAAGTTGTTTTTTTTAAAAAAATCCTACATTGACCATCATTTAGAGCTTTGCATTCCTTTGACGGGGCATTTGCCATCCCCGCCAACGTAGCTAAAAGCCCATGATATAGATTAGTGCTGGAAGTTAGTTTAGTAAATAGAATACGTCTTGTAGCACTCACTTGTATTGCCTACTATTACTGTCAAAATTTTGAAAGATTTATATTGAAATTGTGCATGTGAATTACAGCCACTATTATGTGTGTACGAGATCTTTCCATGAAATGGCGTTGTGCGTTATAATCACAGGTGAAACACTTGCAATCATCTGACAAAGCATGGCAAAGATTCACGTAAAAGTCAGCACTTTAAAAGAATTCAAATATTCCGATAGATTTTACGTGTAAAAAAGACTAATATTTTTCAAACTTTCCCCTTCTGACTCCAAAATTAAATTAAATTAGTTTAGGATAATATAAAATTTAGTCAAACTTGACTCTTTCTTATAAAATTCCATTCATTTTCATATCTAATTCTTACATGGAACGAAAATTTGGAACGCTTCAACCCCTAGTAAGTCATTATCAAAAAAATATTGTGCCATTTCAAAGTAAAAACTTATTTCCGCATCACCTACGCCAAAACTGCAGAGCCGTCATAATTGTTGTGGAATTTGATTTAAATAACTGTATCAATGATTTCAATTTTACTTATGGTTTTATCATAAGTGCAGAAAGTCATTTAGATTGGTGGATAGTTGCCTGGCTTTGAGAAACGCTTTCCATAATAGTCTTTTTGAACCTTTTCTCCAATTGATCATATTGGGTGGGATTTTATCAAAGATCGTTTATAGTATTATGAATGAATGGGGCTAAACGCAAATGACCTGGAAAGATTCGAACTCTCACACATTCTTCTAAGTTCTTTTCAGTTGCTCTGGTAAAGATTAAATTTTTACTTTCAGGATTGTGGGGTGTGGGATAGACTTACCTCCACGTGGTGCACCCTGGGCAACGTATACTCATACGGCAAAAATATCTATTAACCGGCAGTTGACTTCTGACTTCAAACTACCATGACCCCCCCTGGTTGTCATATTCGACCCCTTTCACTGTACTCACCTCACCTTTTTCTCTACCTTTGTGTCTGTCTGCCCCATTTGCATCTGTGAATCGCTCTTCTCTTCCCCACCCCTCGACTTTCTGCTACTATGATGAACCTTCCCTCTGTGAAGCCCGAAGTCAGCTAAAGGGCAAATGAAAAGTGTCATAAAGCCCCAAATTTGAAATAAATAAATACTTTCAGGATTTTGGGGTGCGCGATAAACTTATCTCCACGTGGTACACTCTGGACAACGTATCTTCGTACAGCAAAACAGTCTATCACACGGTATTTGATTTGACTTCTAGTTATTATGATCAGCTTGAAACGATGCTATAGGAAATATCGCCCTCGTCAGGGCAAATCACAACGTCTACAGATCCTCCAGTGGAATGCTGGAGGGATGTCACAGGACAAAAAGATCCAAGTACAGAAAATCCTACAAACCAATGATGTAGACATTCGGACAATTATGGAAGCAAACCTTTCGGATGACAAACTGAAGTACTACCAATTCCCAGACTTCAACCTGTACCTTCTACCTAAATACCGGCAAGTTGCAATTGGAATTCTGACTAGAGTAAAAGAAGGCCTCGCCTCACATTACGATCCAATCAAGAGTATCGGCTCGATACAAGACATGCGAAATAATCAGATTAAATTATTGGAAATGCCAAAACCACTTCAAGATATATGCAGTCTATAATCCACCCCAGAATTTTCCCAACTTTGACTTTCTGAACATCTCATCCCAGAATTGTCCCAACTTTGACTTTCTGAACATCTCACTAACCAGAATTGTCCCAACTTTGACTTTCTGAACAACTCACACATGTCAAAACCGCTTCAAGATATATGCAGTCTATAATCCTCCCCGTCCCAACTTTGACTTTCTGAACATCTCACACAAAACTTCAACACTTTGACTTTCTGAACATCTCACACAAAACCATAGTAGAAGGAGACTTCAACGCCCATTCCACCAGATGGGGCTACAAGGGCTACAAACATAGCTGGAAAGGAAATTGAAGACATGCTAAACAGTATTAGGAAACTTCAACGTCCATTCCACCAGATGGGGCTACAAGGATACCTATTCTGAACATCTTACACAAAACTATAGTATTAGGAGACTTAATCTATAATCCACCTCAGAATTGTCCCAACTTTGACTTTCTTGTAATCCACCCCAGAATTGTCCCAACTTTGACTTTCTGAACCACACAAAACTATAGTACTAGGAGACTTCAACCCCCACTCCACCTACAAAACTATAGCATTAGGAGACTTCAACGCCCATTCCACCAGATGGGGCTATAATCCATCCCAGAATTGTCCCAACTTTGACTTTCTGAACATCTCACTAACCAGAATTGTCCCAACTTTGACTTTCTGAACAACTCACACATGCCAAAACCACTTCAAGATATATGCAGTCTATAATCCACCCCAGAATTTTCCCAACTTTGACTTTCTGAACATCTCACACAAATCTGTAGTAGAAGGAGACTTCAACGCCCATTCCACCAGATGGGGCTACAAGGGTACAAACATAACTGGAAAGGAAATTGAAGAAATGCAAAAACAGCAACCCTCTGGAACTTATTTAAAGCAATGAGGATCCGGCTACATATTTACACTATAATGGAACCAGAAAAACTCCAGACTTGCTCCTAGCTTTAACCGACATCAGTGAGCATACACAGCACACAATTATTGACGATCCTGGTTCTTGCCACGAACCAGTCATTGCAAGTTTTGCCATTGGTACCAAAAGCATGACAAGGAAAGTGCCAACTAAGCTATCATGGAACTTCAAGAAGGCTGACTGGCCTAGATTCACAAACGTTTTAGGCAACCAACTTTACACAAGTCCCTTAAACTTCAACCAGCATCCTGACAAACTTTGCAATGATATCACGAATATTATGATTAGATGTGCAAAGAAAACTATTCCCCGAGGCAAGACTAAACTCTATCGAGTGTTTTGGTCTGAACACCTTGAGGAACTGAAAAGAAGGCGGGACGCCCTTCACAACACTGCTGATCAGACTGGAAGAACGGAAGACGTACAGGCCTGGAGACGACAATCAGCTGTCCTAAGGCAAGCCGTCTTACAAGCTAAACGCACTTCCTTTGACAAGCTCGTCTCAAATATCAACTATCAAAGTGATAGACAACGCACATTATAATTCCTGGGTAACCTCCAAAACAACAGAGAGAGACCCAAGAAAGAACCGATACGTTTAAAATACAACCTGCTTTCTACCGATTCCGAAATAGCTAACTGCATTTCGAGGTTCTATTCCACCAAGCAAAAGAAAAACCCTTTTGTCAAAAAATCTTCAAGAGATTTTAAGATACAAGTAAGACAGTTGGGGGAAATTAAGGAAGACATAGCAACACCAAATGATGTGCTTACTGAACCATTCACACCTTGCGAACTTAATGCTGCGATAAAACAGCTCAAGTGCAAGAAGTCTTCTGGCGAAGACGGTATTCATCCAGAATTTCTAATTAGAATGGGTCCAAAAGCCAAGGAAACCATGTCGACGCTTATCAACAAAATCTGGGAGACCAGTCTCGTACCTAACAAATGGAAAGTTGCTAAGATATACCAGTACTAAACAGGGCAAAGACCCTAGCAACTTCAACAAATATAGGCCTATCTCCCCCACAAGCGTGCTGGCTAAGCTTATGGAAAGAATAGTTAACAGAAGGCTGACCTGATTCCCTGAGACCAACAATGTTCTTAGGAGTGAACAAGCATGTTTTAGGCCTCAAAGTTCAACGAACCAACAAGTAGCCACTTTCTCCCAACGGAGACCAAGCAACCCACCATTCTTGCACTCTCAAGTAGCCACTTTCTCCCAACACATCAAAGATGCCCTTGATGCAAGAAATATACTTCAAATCAGCATATAACTTAGTATGGGAAGAGAAGCTAATTCTAAAATTGGCAAAGATTGGTATTAAGCATAACATGCTAAATTGGATAAAAGCATTCATTGGACCCACATCATGTAAAGTCAGATATGGAAATGCTCTATCAAAATCCAATATTTTACAAACAGGCCTTCCACAGGGAGCTGTCACAAGCTTCACTCTTTTCAATGTCTTCATCAATGACATAGCCGAATTAGTACAGACAGTCAAGGGCATCATGTGCTTACATTATGTAGATGATCTTGTTCTATGGTTTCCCGCCCCTAAGAAAAACGCTCAGGAGAGGACAGAAAGGGCCCTAAATTGTGCACTTAAACTGGGAGAGGACAGAAAGTGTCCTAAATTGTGCACTTAAACTATCAAACTGGTGCGACAACAATGGAAGGTAATCAACACCGCGAAAACTGCATTCCAAATTCTTCTTTGGCCCATCAGAGCATAAACCCGCTTCTAAGGTTTTGGCCCGTCACAGCATAAACCCGCTTCTAAGATACAAGGAAATCAACACCGCGAAAACTGCATTCCAAACTTTTTCTTTGACCCATCACCACCGATTCTAAAGTTCAAGGATACTACCCTAGAAAAAATCAATGAGTTCACATATCTCGGAATGACGTGAAAATCAATGAGTTCACATATCTCGGAATGACGTTTGACACAAATCTTAACGTCGAAAAGTCACATTGCTAAAATAACAGAACGAGTCTCCAATAGACTAAATGTCCTGAAGCGTCTTGCTGGTAGCGTATGGGGCTGTGCGCGCTCAACTCTAAACACCACTTACAAGATGTTTATTCAGCCAATAATGTTGTAT